GGAGCAAATAGGAAATCCTGAACATTAGTTAGGAGGCGACTGCCTAAGTCCAAAGAAGTGATAGCAGTGGTTTGCATTAAATGACTATAGCAGTGGGAGTGAAAATTTGGTCCCATTTTAGGATATACTCTGAACAAGGAGCCAACAACCCCTGTCATCTCTCCATAACTATAATAGCATTCAGTCATAGGCACTGAAAATTTTTGCTGTTTTTTCCTTCCCTTTAAATATTTCCTATGTTGAAGTTTACTACAGTGCTAGATTTTAAGTGCCCAATAATGTGCATTAAAGTATATTTACTACATTAACACTCCTGAAAGATAAATCATTTATTGGTATTAAATGATATTGAGAAATTAAAAAATTAACAGGCTACTAATTTTTTGTGTGTGAAGACAGTCTCTGAATTATACGCACACAGTGTATATATGGCTTATTTCTACAGCTCATGGCTTTCCTTGCAAAATTACAAGAGTCCTTCAAAAGACCTTGGGAATTTTTCCCAATAGATATTTTTTCCATAATACTAAGTGAAGAATAGATACTAAATTTAAAAAATTATTCATTTTTTTCATTGATATCTCACAATAGGCATTTGATTGGAGAGTGAGGATTTTTTGTTTTTGTTTTTAAATTTCTACTCTCTTTACTTTGTAAGCAAGTAGAGTACTGGTTTCATAACCATAACAAGCCTGGAGGCAATAATTGACTTTAATTTTAATATGGATATTGCTAGCGTTTCTTTTATTTTGTTTATAACATATTTTCTTTACGAATCAAGTGGATAATTCTGTTAGCCAACTTTTTTGTATTGCTACAAGCTCCTAATTCTTGATTTTTTAAAATTGAATGAGGATTGTGTGGTTCACTCACTGTTGGATGTAAATCTTAAGTCAAGAAGAATAAAAGACCTGTGTTTGCAAGTATAGCTACATTTGTACCGAATCAATACTTAATGAAATAATTGGTGATTTTATTAAGACCTTGCATATGGCTTTACCCATGGAGTTACATTTGGAATGAAAACTCTAGGGAGCACATGTAAATTTGGGATTTTTGAAGCTTGTACTATTATAGGCTTATAGTTTAAGGGCTTTATAATAGTTCTGGTGAAGAGAACTGAATTTTGTTAAACTTGTTTTGGCTGGTGAAGATTTTTCAAGTCTCTTTTGATAAACAGCTTTGTGAAATCAATGAAACTTGATGGTTTAAGCATTGTCTTGTATACATTGTCTGATTGGAAAATCAATTGACAAATAGAACTTGTGAGTCACTCAGTGAAGGTTTCATGAATAGAACTACAAATGATTTTTATGCACTTTTCCAAACTAGCTCTTTTAAAATCTAGTCTGTCTTTCAAGATTAAAGTTACAACATATAAACTATTGAGTCTAGATAGTTTTATCAGACATAAATATAAATGAAAGATTTACTGAGACAAAAATATCTCCTAAATTGAGTAACTTATGGTAAAATCACAAAGACTAGCATGTTTGGCAAACAGAATATGGTGATTAATCAGATTTTCTGTTTATTGGGGGATCATTTTTATTGTTGAAAAATATTTCCAGTCATATGCATTTCAATGTTCCATTTTAATAAAGTGTATGCAAAACACAGTTGATCATTTATTGAACAACAGAAATTGTTTTTGAGTTGAGGGTCATTTTCTGAATACTAGCTATAGTTGTCTTTATAGCAATTAAGTACATTTTTACAATATAGGGTAGCATTTATCCATTATTAGAAATTTTAAAAAAATCATAAATATTTAGACTATGCAAGTATTTAAATACATTTCAACAATGAGAATTTACCATGAGTTTAAAATTGTGAAGATTCAAATAATGCCATAACATGAAAATTTTCATATATGCAAAATGGGAAAAATGCAAAAATATCTAGTATTGCAGTTATAATAATAAATGTATCGCTCAAGATTTGTTTAAGTTCCCATAGAAAAGATGAAAATATGCTAAATTCTTCTAAAACCCTTTCATTTAGGTAACTGCATGTAATATTAAAGTTTGAGTATTATTTTCAATTGAAAGAAGCTATACAGCATAAGTTGTATATAAGTTGTTATGTGGCATTGGCTATATTTCAGAAATGATGCAGCAAGTTTATTAAGGAACTTTTACCCCCATAATTGTACTAAAATATGTTTGTCCTCATTGGAATTTAAAATAATTAAAATCTATAATTCATTAAGCTATGTACCTCTTCTCAACAGACATCTTATAAGTTTATCAAGATTTTATTATAAATTTGCTGGGAGCAATAAAATAAAGATCCTTGATTAGGTTTTTTTACAAAAGAACTTTTAATATATAATTGAAAAAAAAGCCCAGGATTTTGATCTTGACTGATATGGATTATGTACATGAATCAATTGCTTATTGTAATTCTGTTTATATTAAATATTATTTTAGTTATCAACAGAAGGGTATTTGTTAGTTTTAAAAATAAGGGATCCAGGAAGACACTAATATGATTAGGAATTATTTTGTATTTTCATTATAAATTGAATAAACTGAGTCAAATAGTCAAGCAAAGTAGTTAAAATTGTTTAACATCAAAAGCATATAACTCAACTGGAATTCAGTCCTTCCTATCTAACATTTTAACAATTAGGGCCAATATTCATCATTATCTTGAAGTAAAAATATGACAAAGTAGAATATCAATTATTTGAAAATCCTCCTTCCTTTGAGCTCATTTTCTAGCCATCTCTAAGGTGTGTCATTCTTATGGTTCAAGATGGTGGTTCAAGTTTCATTCATAATATCTGCATTTCTGGTAGCAGGCTACCAGAGGAAATTATGAAGACAGGAAGCAAAGTCAGCCTTCAACCATGTTTTAAATAAAGTTCTGGGAAAGTGTCATATATCATATCTGAACTTAGATCCTTGGCCAAACTTACCTCCACACAGAGGAGAAAAACATAATCCTTATTTTGTATGGCCACATGCTCAGATAAAAATTACAGACTATTGCTATGAAGGAAGAGGAAAATGAATAATGCAGATTCTAGAAGTCTTTGGCAGTAGCATCTGTCCTTATCACTCTACAAAAACTGCATTTTCAAAGACAATCAATAAATTCCAGCACAGCAAATGAGGGGGTTGCTGCTCAGGAAGCTTGAGAAGGGGGAGAGTAGCTTGGAGGTTATAACCTGATAGAACCCTGGAAAGAGAGGGAATGATTTTTAACATTTATTTAAATGTAGGATTTTTAGAGAGAAATCGTCTAAAGACCGTTAGTGCTGCTGAACAAAGTGCCACAGACTGGGTGGCTTAAAATAACAGCAATTTATTCTCTAACAGTTCTGGAGGTTAGAAGTTCAAAATCAAGGTGTCAGCAGACTCATACTCCCTCTGAAACTCTGCGTAGAATGTTTCCTTGCCTCTCCCTGGCTTCTGGTGGCAACTGTCAATCCTTGGTGTTCCTCGGCTTGTGGCTCCATCACTTACTTCACTCTTTGCCTTTGTGATAAAAACACTTCCTCCTTAGGTGTCTTTGTGTTCACATGATGTTTGCCTCTTCTTGTCAGGACATCCCTGGGATGGGATTAGAGCCCACCTTTAGTGACTTCTTCTGAACTTGACTATATCTACAAAGACCCTTTACCCAAATAATGTCACATTCATAGGCACTGAGGTTTAGGACTTCAACATATATCATAACAGCATATTTCTAGAAAACAAACTTTTAATGAATTTTAGAAATCCAAATTCAAAGAGTTTGTGTTTTGTATTGGTTTGTATATGCTTAAAGACCTGCACTATTTTTCAAGGCTTTTGCATTAAGATTTTTGTCAGTTTTGATGTATTCATAGGCAAAAATAGACTTTAAGGCAGTTCTAATTATTTGGATACACCAATCTATATACTTTTTAATTTCTCTATGGAAATTAATTCCCTTGAATACCACCACATCAGGCATCATGACTTCTTTGTCATTTCTGTGCATATGGCACATAAAATATATATATGACTTTTTTTAAGCGCTGTTCCCAGTGTCCTTGAAGTTTTCACTTTGTATCTTGCCTAAAATTCAGTGTATATTACATAACTTATTCAAAGCAGTTTCATTTGCAATCTACTTTCTTTAACTTTACATATGATTAGTATAAGACTCACAATAAAGTCTTGTTGGCTGTTGAAAATTAAAGTTTGTGCATTAAATAGTAAAGATTGTGGACAGGCATGTATGAAAACTATGAGAATAATGGCTAAAAATCTGATCTCTGGAAGTCAGAAAAAATATCAACACACACAAAATTTTTAAAAAACATATGTATACAATTCAGAAGCCCTCCACTAAAGATGACTTACTGGGATCATTTATTATTACTCGATGATACCTCAGAAAAATGATGAATATACACAGTGAAGAGCCCAATTAATATCAATAAAAGTTATATTGTATTACATATCTTGTGTGTACATATTTTTATAAATGTCTCAGTCTAGGCTGTTTAACATTTGGTTTTTAAGATAGACTTTTTTGAGGTCTTACAGGCACAAGTTATTATGAAAAAAATTATTCAAATAGAATAACTTATTTTACAATAGACAATAAATATTTTTAAAATTGTGTCTTTCACCATCTTTTAATTTATGCACATGTGTAGAATTACTGTATTAGAAAATAGAGTAAATTATAAGTCCTAAGGAATACCATGTTTAAATGAAATTAAGTGTATTTACTTGCTTTATGTGGTCACAGCAAATAGGATTAAATTTGTCTTCTTGCTATGTATTTCTGTGGAATCCATGCCTGCCTACTCTCTGTGATTAGAAAATGTAATTTAGGAATATTGAAGTGAAGGTATTTATTCATGTGTAGGTCCATGGCTCTTAATGACATTCAAAATATTTTAATCCAGGGGATTGCGACAGACTTGTGGAATAGAGAGTTTTGAGGAAGATGCTATCATTGTGTATATCATATAAAGGGGATGTAAACTCACATGAATATTCTTGTCTTTGCAGTGTGTGCAGGAACAGAGAATAAACTGAGCTCTCTCTCTGACCTGGAACAACAGTACAGAGCCTTGCGCAAATACTATGAAAACTGTGAGGTGGTCATGGGCAACCTGGAGATAACCAGCATTGAGCACAACCGAGACCTCTCCTTCCTGCGGGTAAAGCTGTCTTTTCCTTTCTCTTCTCTTCTTTGTGAGTGGACAATGGTGTCATGAAGCATAAAGGTAGACCTGCTTGCTTGTACCTGGGAGCTATGCTCCTCTGTCTGACAGGGACTGTGACTGTAGGTAGAAGATAAAAGATACAGAAACACACCCAGGAAAAGAACAAGAGTAGCAAAGCCATAATGACTGACACCCCAAGTTTAGAGCAGTTGCTGTTGTCCTCAGATTGATACAAGATTCTGTCAGGGTGTAGTACATGACATCTAGCATTTCTGTCTTTTTCTGACAGGCTGAGATCTAGGAGAATTGAAAACTTTAGCCAGTCATCTCCTTTTTGCCCTTTTTCTGTCACTTTGGACTTTTTAGACCATTTTGTATTGCCATAAGGAGACTAACACTGTCACTTAAAAAGAAAAGCATCTGATTTGAAAACCTACAGATTATTTAAACTAAACTCCGCAAAATCACAAGTCCTTATGTAGATCGAAACCTGGACTTCAAAGGGATGCTGAGAAAGTGAGTTGAGGATATGGTCTTGCACAACTAAGAAGGTATTCTTCATGTAAAAATGATTAATATGTATTTTAAGCAATAACACCCCTAGGATATATTTGATCTTGTTTTTAATGATATTTACATGCTTCTCAGGAACACTATCTTGCATAAATCAAAACAAAAATATTTCAAATATTGATAAAGAAAACTATTTAGTAAATAGTAAATTATTTAAATATTCATGATATTTTATAATTCTATACTTGGATAAATTGTAAAAAAAAGTGAAATTTAAATACTTTGAATGTAGTAAATATATCTAGAATTGGTAACAATGTTAGAAATGAAACACCTCAAATACATATAACACTGTGGGACTTATAATATCCATTTTTTAAAATGACTATCATATTTGGACTAGTAAAGCAAATGAAGGTATTTCCTTATTCTACTGCTTGATCTGATTCTAAAGTTATGTGTCAAAATTTTTAAAATAATTATGACATATAATTATCATGCCTTTGCTTATCCAAAGTAGATAGTAAAAGTTATCTGAAGTCTAAAATTAGAGGGCCTTAAAAGAATTTAACACTTTTTTGGAGGGTTGATGTTTTAAGAAGGGAACATATACAAGCCATCCTGGAACATATACCAATAAACTTCATGGCATTATAGGAAAGAGAAATTAACAGAGAAAGCTGAATTCTGAAGCAGGGAAAATAAATGGTTAAAATAGACTGTTAGGTTGAAATACTATAAGACAATTTAAAAATTCAATCTAAAGAGCTTTGCTTTTATTCTTATGTTTGTTTTGCTTTGTTTGCTATACATGGAACAAGATTTCACTAACAGTAAAATAGTTATGAATATTATAAAGACAGTCTTTATGTTGAATAACATTAAAATTTCTTTATAACTTTTATAATTTTATAATTCTCATGCTCTTCTAATGTAACAAAATAGAATGCATAAAAAGAGAGGTTAGTCAATTTATAACCTTCGCAAATTTGGAAGCAAAAAAAATTGTGTTAGAATTCTCTTTAACTACCTATATTAAAATACAGATATGTGCATGAGTTAGTACAAAGTTTATATGAACTTTTAGAGATGCTAGTTAGGAGCCAACAATTATTTTTTTAAACAAACAATTGTTCTAGGAAGAAACCTTAGCCTTCCTTATCTTCTTCTTCCCAATTCTGTTTCTTCTAATAACTTATTTTTCATTCCAAAATGGCTCCTAGAAAAGTAGTAAAACAGTATACACTATGTTGTTCAAACATCTACCTGCAACTTCCAAATTTGCGAAGGTTATAAATTGACATATCTTTTGTCTTAGACAAATGTCATTTTTATTATGACATATTCAACAACAGATATTCAAACCAAACAAATGTTCTTTCAACAAATATTCTTAGCCCAAGGATACAAGGGCAGCAATCTGTTGTCCATGACTTCAACAATCTTATACATTACAAATGTGTAATACATAAGTACTGTATATGTTTATATATGCACATATATGGGTATATCACATATGTGTCTATATGTATACAGGCATATATATTATAAATTATATATGCATATATGATATACATGTCATTTTATAGTTGATAAGAGAAATGACCCAAAACCAGAATAAAGGTTTGTTCTTGTTTTAATGAAAGAAGCGCACTCTGGGCAAAGAAAGGAATGGCTAGTTCTGAAGCATTCAGGAAGATTTTCATCAAGGAGAGGTTGAGTTGAATTGCAAGAAAATGAATAGGAGCTCACGAGGTGAGAGAACTGGAAGAAAAGGGCATTTCAACGGGAGTGACATTAGTTAAGTCTTGGAAGGAAGGCCCTAAGTCACAACAAATGAGTATGTACTTACTGTGCACTGTTTTAGACACTAGACATATGCATACAAATAAATCACAAGTGGTTCCTGCCCCCAAGGAGCCTACAGTACAGTGTAGATGAGGAAGGAGTTTGAAATGGAATAAAAGATTACTTTGGAGAAGTAGAGAGCCTTATGGTATGGATAGACATCTGGGTGATGCCGGAATCCAAGTGACGCGTTAACATTTCGTGATTAGATAAAATACTCAAGGGAGATTGAAAAGAGTAAGATCAACAAGTGGCCAAGGATAGAATACCCTGAATACCCTATTATCTCTTTCTTGGTAAACACAGTGTTATAACTACTTTTCTTACTGAGCCCTGAAAGCAGGGACTATTTGCCAAGATCTTCATAATACAACTGTATTGAATGGCCTATTATTTCAGTGTACCTTAAAATACTTTAAAATCTCTACATCTAATATAAAATTTCGTTCTTTTTGAAAACTACATTATGGTTTATTTGTGCTGTTAGTGACTTCCCTTCAAAATATATAATCTGTTCTGTATAAGAAGAGTCCACATAAAGAAAATCTAGTTATACATAATACCATAATTTCCTATGAGTTTGAATGTGTGAGTGAGTTGTAAACTTACATTAACCTATTCTATGGATTGCATAGCCTTTAGGTATATGTATGTAACCACAGCTCATTGAACAACTTCCCTTTCTCTAAGAATGACTCAAATGTATAATGTATTTAGAAAGTGGATAGTGATCTTAAATTTCATTCTGGATTTATTTCTCTCTTTAGGAACTAAAGAAATTTATTTTGTCTTTAAAGGATTTTTCCATCTTTTTAAAATCTCTGCCTAGCAAAGTAACAGTGTTTTGTTGCTTGCTTTGTTTTATATAAAACAATTCTAATTTCTATGGCTCTCTCTGTCTTATTCACTATAAACATAGTATCTAGAATAGTGACTCAAATATAGTAGGTATTCAGGAAGTATTTGTTGAATTGACAAGTGAATGAGTATTTTTTCTTAGCTTGTTTATCCCAATTTCATGTATGACATATTCTCTAGATAAACATGTGAGTCTCTTTATACTCATGTTACTTCAGTGTGACCTCACTCAAAGGCCAGGTGCATAGGAATAAGTTATAGCTGGGTCCATCCGAATCCCTTTCCATGAGGATTTGGAATTGGTACCAAGAACATGAGTTTCTCTCTGAGTTAGTTTCTTAACCATATGGGTAGCGGAACATCTGTTGTCTTGTGGTTTGAATGATAGAGAGAGCTGGGCAAATAGAATGAAACAGGAATACTGAAACAGACATAAAGAGCAGAGAAAGATATCTTTACCTTACATTACTGATGGGGAACCGTTAATTTCCAGGTTCCAGTCTGTTCCTGAAGACTGATTTCATTTCAGCCGTTTGTGCCTATGCGTCTGCATTTTTATAGTAACTTTATAATTATTTCTCCTTTCCCCCCTTTAACTAGAATAGGACTTCCTTTTGCTCAGGTGTCTCACTTAGTACATCTCACAAGATTTCACAAACACAGAAAACAATGGGCCTTTGAAATTGCATTTCAGGTGTACTTATAAATAATCTTAAAAAAATGATAATGTTTTAGAGATACTTCCCTTAATCTTTGTTAGATACATTTTATTAAAATGCCTTTAAAAAAAATCTCTCTCTTTGTCTTTATTTCAGTTGCTTTAGAGGGTACAAGTAGTTTTTGGTTACATGGATGCTTTTTATAGTGGTGAAGGAGTTTGGGCTTTATGTGTACCCACCATCCCCACCTGTTGTGGTTTTTCCTTCAAGTGTTTCCACCACTTCCATCCAATAGGTGATTTTTGGTCTCTTCGTGCCTTACCGCCCTCCCTCTTCTGAGTCTCCAACCGAAATACCTTTAAATGCATTCTTGGCTTTTGTGATAGCAAACTTGATGCTTATCTTCTGTATATACCTTTCCACCCAACTTTCTTGTAATTTGGGGGAAAAGAAATCCAGTTGACTATGTTTAACATTCCACCCGAGGAACCACATAATTGGCTAGAAAAAGGCCCCACAACTTATTTACTATGTATTTTGTCACTACTGCAAGGTTAAGGCATATAATAGAAAGCAGCAAAGCATAAAAATCACAGATTTTGCGCGATTTGTCTTACACTTTGTGAACTCTCTAAAACAAGCCAAAATGTAGTAGGTAATGGGAATGAACTATTTAGACCTTTTACCCTCATTAGAATTCTTAGGAGCTTTCTCTCTTTTGTCATTCCATTGGTCTTCCTTGCTACCGCTGGCATTTAATAACTCAGTGCTTCCACAAAGGTGCCTGACCTACCAGCTTTTGCACTTTAAATTTATTGTCTGTTTTATATATTCACTTCAAGCAGATGGCTATTAAGTGTCAACTATGTGTAAAGCCGTGTGATATGTAAAGCAGAGTATATATAAAGAGTGTTAACACCGATTCTCATCCATTGCTATAATAGTTAATTTTTCATCAATGGCTTAAATTTAGTTGTGTGCAAATTGCTTTAGAAATGGTGTATACTGGGATTATGAAAAGATAAATCTATTTAGCAGTTGATGCATTAACCCGGAATAGTAACAATATCTGTAATCCATTGGACCTCTGTATGCTGTAATCTAGAAGCCTTACAT